AAAATCACTTTATACTTAGAGGCCTGAGTGGACAAGTGTCGATGAAGATATCAAAGTAATAGGTTAAGTATGAGTGAAATGCATGCACTGAGAGTTTCGTATTTATTTATGAAATGAGATGATCGGTGAGAGTTAAGGCGTGTGACCGATTATAATTTAACTTTATAAAAAAAAAGAGAATGAAATAATATTGTTCCCGCTGAGTTTCTTTCGCCAGTTCTTCTCAGGTCTGAGACTTCTTCTTTCCGAACTGGTAGTAGACTCATTCAGTAAACAATTGTAATAATTTAATGCTGAATAAAATATTTTGAATTTTGATGGTTTTACATGTTGTCCAAGGCATGGGGTGACCGCTAACTTCTCAACTCCAGGCTAATATATTAACAGAAAGACTCAATAATTAAACTTGGCACTACGCGTACTTGGCACGACTCGAACCCAGAACCTCCAGATCTGCAACCACTGCACCATTGAAGTATTTAATATATATATATATATATATATATATATATATATATATATATATATATATATACTTTATACTTAACAGATGCTCATATAGATAGTCCACAAGAGATTTAATGTAGCGTATAATTTGCAAAGACTATTATCCACTTCGCCCGCCGCTAACAATAGCACCGCCTTCCACTCTACCCTATATAACCAACACAGTACACGCTTAGTTTATCATGGAAAGATATAGATATATAGATAAATTCATTATTGCACATACAAAAGAAGAGTAAAGAAGATAAAAATAAAAAATAAATAACAAAGAGGCATGCAAAGGTGGTCTTATTGCTACGAGCAATCTAAAAGATGTTATTATATAAGAAAAAACATGGGATACCTAGCGGCTTGCCATCGATTCGCTCGCGTCCGTCCCCAGGTATGAGGATTTTAGTGACAATTTCATGCGTCTTAATTTTTATTGCGCGCAACTCTGATTCTTTTTCTGAAATAAAAGTGAGATTAACTAAGCCTAAGTTACTGCTTATAACATCAGCTATCTGCCAGTGAAAGTCCCGTCAAAATCGGTTCAGCCGTTTTGGACCATAGCCGGAACAAATAGACAAAAAAATTTTTTTTTTTATTATAAGTACTGTATAAACTTTCATATTCATTAAGAAAAACTAAAAAGTTGTTATTTTGACATTACGAAAAGACACTTCCATTTTATTTTTCTGTATCTTTATATATATAATTCTTCTGTGAGTGTGTATGTCACTGAACTTCTCTCAAACGACTGGACCGATTTTGATGAAATTTTTTGTGTGTGTTCAAGGGGATCTGGGAATGGTTTAGATTCACAATTTAAATAATAATTTTCATCAAAAAAAATATTAAAAAAAGTTTGAAATTTTCAAATTAAAGACGTGTAGACAGGACAACGTCTGTCGGGTCCGCTAGTATACATATAATAATCTATACTCATATATTAATATGTAAAGCTAAAGAGTTTGTTTGTTGTGTTTCATAGCCTATTTAGTAAGAAAGGTAATATAATGCTATCTAACATCACATTATAGCCTACGAGAGCAGAGTAATTCTACAAAATTGAAGAGAGAAACGATAAAATGCTAGCTGTATGGTACCTCTAAGGTATTCGTAAGACAGTCTTGCCATCTGGGTCAGGTATCAATGTTCAATACGTCCTGCCAACTAGACTACACAAGGATAGCGTGAAGATTCAATTCAATTCAATTTTCTTGTTAATAGGCTTCAAAGCGTGTCGCCAATGTCACGTAGAAGAAGACAGCGTGAAGATACGCATGTCACTGTTAACATAAGAATGTATTTAGTAGGGTCGTTTTCAAGCGAAATCAATAATGCCTTTAGAATATGGTAATTTTATTAAAGGGTGCTTTGTATCGATCTAACACAAGAATTAAGTACTGTCACGTTATTAGTTTTGTTTCTGAAAAGTTCGACGTACAGTACCTTGTGTGTTTTCCATTATACGTAAATATATTGGCAAAATAATCTGGTGCTCATCTTTCACGTTTTGACGACATCATTAAGAGAATTGAATTGATATTGACATACAGTGGAATAGTGTAAATAATTTTTTTTATCATTAAATATTAGATTTAATAGACATTACGTGGTTTTATATTATATATATATATATATATATATATATATATATATATATATATGTAAGTGTAAATCCGTAATCATTAGAGGTGGTATTTTTTCTTGAAAATGTGTCACCATCCTTGAGTTGCTTAGGTTTGGGTGCTATAGTGTGTGCAAAAGCGATCCTAAAAAGTTTCTATATTGAGACGATTGGGTTTCGTTCTAGGGAGTCAAAGTCTCACACAGTCCCCTGGTCGGTAGAAACCAAGGATGGGTTTTCTCAGTGACATCAAAAAAATAACCTTAGGTTGGTTCGTTCAAACATTAATATTAAGATGAAGACAATATATAGATGTATTGCTGAAGTTGTCGCTTAGCACACAAAATAAAGGTAAGCGTACAACTGATTTGTGTAACTCCTCCTTTTTTGAAGTCGGTCCAAACACTTTTATTTACAACTAGCATTGCCCGCGGCTCCGCCCGCGTTCAGATGGCCAAAAACCAAATTCTTAGGTTTTACATATAAGTATACTCTTACAATGCAGTTTTTGATTTTTTCTCAAAAATGATATATTTTCCTGCGTTGTTAATTTGAATAAGATTTTCCAAATATGTTATTTGAATATGATAATGTTTATTTGAATAAGATTTTCCAAAAAATATTTAATGTACAGATTCGGCTTTGTTACAATTTTATTATATGTCTATATGTAATATACCTATCTATAAAAAACTGTTTCTAATATGTTTGTATTGATAACACTAAATCTCTTCGATAGCTACTAGAAAATCGGTTGACAAACAGAGGAAAAAAGTTACTGAACGGTTTTGTCTTTTTTTTTATGGTGTTCAGTGACAAACAAGCAGACAGACAGCCCACCTGATGGAAAGCGGTACCTGTCGCCCATAACACCTACGGTTCGTGCACTTAGGTTTTATATTACAAAAATGCATTGTTACTTACAAAATATTTGGTTTTTGTTCATCAATTTGTTTGTTCATGTTAACGCGGGCGGAGCGGCGGGCAATGCTAGTATATAAATAAAAATAAATCACCGAAATGTATGTACACGCATAACTTCCGACCGATTGCACCAAATTGGATAATATTTTTTTTGTGTTTGTTATTGTCAGGACCAGTTTTGTATTGAAGAAAATTTAAAGATTTTTTTTTACTAAAATAATTTCTTTTTAAATCTCGTGATATGAAAAGTGAGTGAGTGAAATAGTTTTTATCCCGGAAATCATCCCTTAAGGGGATGAAAATGGGGATGAAAGTTCGTATCGGGAAGCAAGCTAGCTAGCTAGTTTATAATAATAATAAGAATTAAGATTATATTGAGTTCGATAAAGAAATGCTTTACTATACTTAACCGTTTCTTATTTAAATACTTTCTCAGATTTACGCGAGTATTTGACATTTTAAACCTTTTCGGATATTTTCGCGGATTTATTTTGATTTTCTCTCCTCCGTGACTGCCGTGATGGTGATACTGTAAAGCATTCGAAACGTCGGGAACCAAAAATCAAAATAAATCCCGCGAAAAGTTTTTAAAACGCCGTTTATTTCCTCTAGTTTTGAAGGACAGATGGTTTTCTTTTCGTATCGCCTCAAGCAAGCTAACTTTTAATCAGAATAAGTGATTTTGTGACGCAAAGACGTTTGTCATTTTCTGTACGAACTTACTTTTCATAACTAACTTTCCATCTTGAATTAGAAATTGTTATGATATGACGATTCGTTGGCTCAGTTTGTAGTGACCCTACTGGATGTGCCAGCGGTCGCGGGTTCGTGTCCCGCTGGGGGCTATTCGTTTGTGTGTTGGGCACGAATGTGTGTACACCAGTCCTCGGTGTTTATATTTATAACATGTTTGTATTTAAAGTTATATATGTGTAGTGTATCAACTATCTGGTATCCATAACACAAGCTTACTATGGAACTAGATAGTGTTGTGTGTTATTGTCCCAACATATTTATTTATTTATATTAAGCGATTTTTGACCGTCGTTAAATATATTGAAGACGTATTCAACCTTTTTTAACGTCCCACTGCTGGGAATGGTCAAGTGCGAGCAGTGCGAAATGTCGGGAATAAATGAAATAAAACCTCTACAAAGTCTGAAAAGATATTTTTATTTAAAATCTCAATAAATCTAAGGAAGTATTATTATACTGACATTTTTAAAATTAGATTTAAAGCTGGAATCTGAAGATATTATAGGTTCTAATTAAGACTAAGCCTTTATGACGTGAACAAATGGCCGCCATTGTCTCGGGTGGCGGCCGCGGAGACAATCCCAACGGTTTTATACATTTTGCTATGAAAATACCAACTTCATGGGAAATCTACGTAGCTTTGTGTTTTAAATTGCAAAATTTTAACATAGCTTATTGAATTAAGTCCACGAATGTTAGTTTATTTAATGTACTTACCTATATGTAGGTACATAGGTAAAATTGATATGAGGTTTGTTAGTATGGTTATCATTTGAGAACGGCTGGATCGATTTTGATAATTTCTTTTTTAAAATGTTTGTTAATAAGGTTTTTGAAGGAAAAACAATTAGAAAAATCATTTGACAATATTGTTATGATGTGAAACGGGATATTTACCATGTTTAGCGTTTTTAAGAGTTCTCAATATTTCGGCAATGTTACCAGCGCCACGCACAGTACATACACGTGACGAGTTGAAAAATTGGGAATTTCGAGAGAAACTAAGTGCATTTTTATAGGATTTTAGTGTGAATTCAAACACCACAAACAAATATATTGAATTAATTTACTATTAGTATACCTTATTATTTATATTTAGCTCTATTCTCCAATGAAATTCCCATTCAATACGGTCCATTCGTTCGTTACCAAGATTAGTTCAAACATACATATAATGTATATATTCTATCATTTGTTTCAGGGAACAACAACCAGGGTGTGAGAGGGACCCGTCTTTTAAACAGTTAGTGCCCAACACATCAAACCAATCTGGTAAGAACGTACGGTCCTTAGATTATTGTTAAGAGTCTTTGTTTAAATATAAAAACCGATATATTAATAATTACTTCAAAAAGGAGCAGATTAGTTAAATTGTGTGTATGTTTTTCAAAATAATATTTATTTTTAGTAAAATAAAAGTACTCTAAGTCTAAGTCTAAGTTACTCCTTATAACATCAGCTATCTGTCAGTGAAAGTCTCGTCAAAATCGGTCCAGCCATTTCGCAGATCAGCCGGAACAAATAAACAGACAGACAAATTTGTTTTTCTTTCCTTATAAGTACCTACAGTATATACATTTAGTAAAAAGCTGTTATTTTAATATTACAAACAGACAATTTAATTTTATTTATTTGTATATATAAGAAAGTATATTAATTAGAAAAGAAACTGTTGATAAATTCTGACTCTACCCATTGTGATAGAATCTTCATCTTCGTCGGCGGACACAGCGTCGCAGGGCTCCGGGTCTGCGCCTGCGCCGCCCAAGAGACATGAACCTCAGGTGAGAGATACCCCATGTACTACCAGGGCTTGGAAACCCGTTCAATTTTTAAACCAGTTTTGGTCATTGAACAAACCGAAAGGCTTTTCGGCTTAAGACCCGGTTACGTTTTTTAACCGGTTAAAGTCCGGAGAACGGTTATATCGCGGATTTAAATTTTTTTCTGTCAAAAGCTTTTTAGCGTGAAAATATAGAATTCTTAGTTACGAGCTCGTACTAATATTATACTGTAATGACTTTGTATCAACGGATTGTTTAGTCGGCAGTGTGTTGATCGCGGCGGCCATAACTCGAAATCGAACCTGCGATCTTTAAAATAAACAAACACAACGTAAAACATATATACGAGAATGTTAATCGTAGTGTTGTTAGTCTATCTATTTAGCAATTACCATATATGGCTATTTGGACGCACTCGACAGGTATTGAAGATATATGGACATGGAATTTATGACATTTTTTATATTATATCTCGTAATGCTACTCAGTAGATAGCGTCATCGTAAAGTCCAATTTTTTATATTAGTTTGAGACGAAAATCTATAAAATTTTTACTTACCTATTTATTAAAATTAAAATGTTATAATAAGTTTTCAAAATAAGTCCGTTCTTGTATTAGAATTAGTGGTGTTTGGGAATGATGTAGTTTAGCTTCACAATGAAGTCGATGGATCAAACAGTCCTACAGATAATGCAACACGTGTCTTACGTAAGTTTAAATGTAAAATTATAGGTCTTTTTTTGAGCATGGAAGTGCTCAGCCAAGTTCGATATCATATTAAAGTTTTGTGTTTGTTTCGTTTTTTAAAATTATATAATACTTACAGTACCCGCCGGCTTCGCTCGCGCTAAAACTACAGAAAAATCTCAATTACATTTTCATTACCCCCCATATAATAATTTTAATAAAACTATTGATTACTAATTATCTAAAGTCAAATTATTATTATTTTTATCTTTATTTTATATTTTAAATTATGTTGTTTCTAATTTTTGTTATTCATATACATGTCTGATTCTTTTTTTTTTCACTTTAATTATTGTATTGAATTGTTTAACATGTGTATTGTAAGTGTGCTTAATAATAAATAAATAAATAAATATCTCCACACAAAAACTCACGCCAATTCGTCACTCCGTTTCGACGTCAAAGGAAGACAAACAAACATACTTTCGCATTTATAATATTAAGACTGTATGGATTCGTATATCGTCGTGTATATATTTTATATATTGATTGAGCAATTCTTGTATTTTTATATACATATAAATTTAGTTCGTGTATCTGGACTCTGGATCAAATGTTGTATTTAGACAAGGTTTTGTTTTTAAAGTTTATCTATATATGTCTTTTCTGAAAAAAAACGCATTTTTTCACAAAAAACATTTTTTTTTGAACTAATTACATATTAGAACCTTTTTTTATGTGATCTTTCGCTGACAATGTCACATAGCGCCATCTCGTAAATGTTTGTGGTATTTGCATCGTCGACAATGGATGATAACCTACTAGATGAGCGCTTACGATGAGCGAACCTTGATCGTCTAGATACTTAATTATAGAGAGTGTCGTATGTTTAAAAAGTATATATTTATATAATTAAATATTTAAATAATTTTTTTCCAGAGGGAAGAGCGGCAGGCCGAAGCCGCCCGCTCTCCTAGAGTTCAGCCGAATCCTTTATTAAGGTAAAGTTTTTCTGTTCTTACAAATAACTGTATGGTTTATTTACTTGATATACTTATATACAAATATTATATTTATATGTTTTCTTGTCAAAATTCGATCCTGACTAACAATAGACCTGTCTTTTCGAGACATTACAGATTTCATTTTTTTTGAAAAAGAACGTTGTCTTGTATTTTTAGCTAAACTGGCTTAAGAGTATTATATTTTGTATTATAAATTTGTCGATATTTTCTATAATTTCGAATTTCACTATACACGCCCATTTGAAAAATTCATTATCCTTAGTAATGATATTTTGTATTTGTGTGGTGTTTATTCCTTGAACTGGATTACTAAAAATAACACATTTCTTTAATTTTTGACTTATTTTCCTATACCTTTAGGGACATTATTTTGTGATAATATTTATTTAGGACTTTATAGGCAGGTGTTTTTTTTAAATTATCACAGTACTGCTTTAGAATATTGCTCTTAACAGGTGTCGAAACATTAAGATGGATGTTCTCGGATATTAGATGCTTACCATGTTGTTTGTACTATTTCCTGTGACTATAAATTATATTTTATAATGTCATAAAATTTTGCTGTCACGTCACTAAACTGAAATGAAAAACAGATCGTTAAAACCAATAAATGTTATTTAATATATAAATTTTTTGTAGTATTTTTATCCAAGTGGAAAATGAAAACTGTTTATTTCTATGGCACTCTCTATAACAGAAATTAACTAACAGAAGCTAAACAGTAAGCCTTAGATTAATCATAATCCTGGGAGTGATTTTATGAGATAACTTTTATGCCACCATTTTGACACTAATTAAAAAAGTACTTGGACTTATTATTTGTATGTCTTTTCAGTCTTGACATATTGGGCGTGGCATTTTGTTGCTGTGATTCGCTTGAAAATACGCCTCCACTCTCTATAAAATATATTATACATTAAATCTGTTAAAAACCTCATTCAAGAATTTATTTACTTAACAAAATATGTTATTATAATAAATTCTTGAAACTCATTTAAAAAAGCCGTTGCTTAGTAAATAATGAATGCGACGAACCCGTCAGGTCTCGCACCCTCCCCAACTTCGGCGGCGGGCGGTCGCGCGACGCGTCCCGCTGCGACACGTCGCGGCGCGCGCACCACATCACCATGGCGACCGAGGACCTGCTGCAGCCGGGCCACGTCGTCAAGGAGAGGTGGAAGGTATGCTATGTACTATACAGTATACACTGTATAATAAATAAATAAATATGTCGGGACATTAACACACAGCACCATCTAGTTCCATGGCAAGCTACGAGGCTTGTGTTATGGATACCGGATAGTTGACACATATATAACTTTAAATACATACATATTATAAATATAAACACCCATGACTGGAGTACAAACATTCGTGTTCATCAAACAAATGAATGCCCCCAGCGGGACTCGAACCCGCGACCGTTGGCATAGTAATTACGGTCACTACACACTGAGCCAAACACATACGATAATACGGTACGCACTATACATTACACACTACATTACATGTACAGAGTGGGAACATGGCCGATTTTTTGTTTCATATTTTTTTTAGGGTAGAGAGTTGAAATCTATTATAATGTCTTGAAGGTTAAGATGTGGAGGGTGGCATCATGTAAATTACGGGGTCAAGGGTTGATAACTTGACCTTTTTTTTTTAATTTATGTTTTTATATAGACTTAAATTTAGCTATGCCAGTTTTTTTTTTAAATTGCTCATTTTTCAATATTTTCAGTACATTAGAAGTAACAGATCATAGGTCGTAGACAATATATTGTAATAACCAATCATTCTCAATAAAACAATTCTAAAGTCTCTTCTTTCTGCTATTATTATTATTATATTGAAATCTCCTACTCTTCGTCCCCAGGTGGTGAAGAAGATAGGTGGCGGCGGCTTCGGCGAGATCTACGAGGGCCTGGACCTGGTGACGCAGGAGCAGGTGGCGCTGAAGGTGGAGTCGGCGCGCCAGCCCAAGCAGGTGCTCAAGATGGAGGTGGCCGTGCTCAAGAAGTTGCAAGGTTTGTGGTTTATGGTTTCACTGGGTTGGGGAGAAATCGTAGTGTTTTCATGGACTTTGTCGACTAATTTTACCATTTTTGGGGCTAAGTTAAAAAGCTGTTTTTATAATGATCAAGGTTTGTTTAGCCCTTCAATTTGCTATTGGAGTTTGGATTTTTCATTTTTTTTATTTTTTTGTCTTTTGATTGTCTAGCGGTCAACTTTAGCCATTGGGCTACGGAACCTTAATAAAAGAAGATATATGTAACAAATATACACATAGAAAATTATCGAACTAAATTGAATGCTTTCAAATTGAATTATGAAGGTGGTGATTGTTGGCATATAATAGTAAATTCTAAAAAATAATATTTTGATTATTAACAGTGTGTAATACAAATATGTATATTGTATATATTTTGTATTTATTATATTATTATACTTTAAAAAAATATATATAATTAAGGACTTCTTTAATAGCCATTTTATATTATATACTATATTTTTTATCTATATTTAACAAACATGTAACACAAAAAGAAGAGGTTAATAATTCTATACTGCCGCAACGACCATAGATAACCACGCTCTTTCTTTCTTCAATCGCTATAGTATATGTAGATTATACCGACTGTTTGCTATTAATGTAATTATATATGTCATTTATTCCTTCTGCATATATGTATGAACTAGCGACTCACCCTCGCTTCGTTCGGGTTCGTCCTTAGCTCGATTCCCCATACAAATTTCTATCTCCATTTTCACCCTCTTAAGGGATGATCTCCGGGATAAAAAGTATCCTATGTTCTTCATAGTATCTCGAACTATCTTCTTACCAAATGGTCAGTAGATCCAGAGATTACCCCCTTTTTTGTGTCGGGAAATGCATACCACCTGATCCCTCAGGTAGTGATGTGAGACTCACCAGCTAGAAGAGCCGGTACTACCCACTAACACCCGACATTCCCCTCCCCTCCGCCTTAATAGGACGCCGCAGGATCGCTTGCGCATAACTACTACGGCGCCCCGGCAGAGATTACCCTCTACAGCAACGTGACAAACTTACAATCTTTACCTGTTTATAATATTAGTATAGATGTATGTTTGTTCGTTCCCCCCGCAGGCAAGGAGCACGTGTGCCGCTTCATCGGGTGCGGGCGCAACGCGCGCTTCAACTACGTGGTGATGCAGCTGCAGGGCCGCAACCTCGCCGAGCTGCGGCGCGCGCAGCCGCGCGGCGCCTTCTCGCTCTCCACCACGCTGCGGTACGCACACACACACACACACATGCACATTGCACATGCATGTGCGTGTACGCACAAGTGTACTTGCACACATATACATTTTATTTGTTGCTACACTTATGCAACTATTACCGAATCAGACTACAGTCCCCTGCGCTGGTCGAGTGCGGGCGGAACGAGCATATCTGCAGACAACTTGCTAGGTTCTCTTTGTCATGAAGGTTTCCTCACCATGTTCAATTCAAACATATATGTTTAGCATTTATGAAAAACGTTACAGACAAAAAAAGATTAAAAATAAAAAGGAGTCCTCGGCAAAAAATCACTAAACAAATATTGTTATTTCAGGTTGGGACTGCAGATATTAAAAGCAATAGATTCAATACACTCGGTTGGATTTCTTCATAGAGATATTAAGCCTGTAAGTATTATACGAGTAACATTCGCTTATATATTTTGACTTAAATTCGTTTTAAGGATTAGTTAGTTTGTCTGTCAGGATTTTTAGTTCGGTCAAGACTAGGGTTAGGGGAGTATAAACATTCGTGTTCATCATACGAATGAATGCCCTCACCGGTACTAGAACCTACGACCGCTCGCACGGCGAGTATTTATTATGAAAGAAACGTGCGTATACTATAGAGCGCAGTCACGAGCGAGAGGCATATCATCTTAATCCACACAGTGACAAACGCATCTGCGGTTCTGCATTTTTGTAATATAAAACCTGAGTGCACGAACCGTAGGTGTTGTGGGCGACGGGTACCGCTGTCCATCAGACGGGCCGTCTGCTCGTTTGTCTCCGAGCGTGTGTGTATGTGTGTGTGTGGTCGGGTCCGCAGAGCAACTTCAGCGTGGGGCGGCTGCCCGCCAACAGCCGGCGCGTGTACATGCTGGACTTCGGGCTGGCGCGCCAGTACACCACCAGCGCCGGCCAGGTGCGCCCGCCGCGCGCCGCCGCCGGCTTCAGAGGTCTCACGAATGCCTATTATATTTCACATTATATGTACACATAAATAAAATTCAAGTGTCTGTTTGTTATGTCGAAATGACAATGACAGCGTTTTATTAAATGCATACGAAATTATATACGGTATTTATAAGAAAAAGACAATTTTTAAAAAATTTGTCTGTCTGTCTGTTTGTTCCGGTTCCAATGTCCAAAACGGCTGAGCCAATTTTGACGGAACTTTCACTAGCAGATAGTTGATGTTGTAAGGAGTAACTTAGGCTACTTTTATTTCAGTAAAAAAATTAGGATTTAGCTCAAAAAAATAAAACGTACCTACGGACGAACACGCACGAAAAGAGAGCGAGTCGCTAGTAAATTATAAATAATACTAGCGACTCGTCCCTAGATTGCTTCCCCATACAAACTTTCATCCCCATTTTCACCTCCTTAAGGGAATATTTCCGGGATAAAAAGTATCCTATGTCCTTCCCAGGGCCTCGAACTATCTTCTAACCAAATTTTACCTAAATCGGTTCAGTAGTTTCGGAGCCTATTCGGTACAAACAAACAAAATAAATTTTTCCTCTTTATAATATTTCTATAAATATAGATAATAAAAAATACTTTCATTGCCATAAAAATAAAATAAACACACACACACATTTTTTTTTCTATCCTAGACCGAATTTGTATATGTAGTCTAAAAAATATAAAAGAGAATTTAATCTTTAATATGTCGTTTTGACATTCCAGGCACGGTCCGCTACGCGTCCATCAACGCCCACAAGAACAAGGAGATGGGCCGCCACGACGACCTCTGGTCGCTGTTCTACATGCTGGTGGAGTTCGTCAACGGACAGCTGCCCTGGAGGAAGATCAAGGACAAGGAGCAGGTTTGATTGTTTGTTCGTTTGTCAGTTCCTGAGGTATGCCGGCATAGATGTCGGATTTAATTTGATGTTTGGCCGTTGTTTCGAATGTTTCACAGTAATTTTGGTCGTAAATTGAGTTATAAAATACTAATAATAATTGCATCACTTGGCTATATTTGTTAGTTCTGGAGTTTTAAGCTATCAAAATTATACGAAAATTCGATTTTTTTCAAGTAATTTGTAATTCTTTTTAAAAAATGTTTTGTATCTCTCTCACTGGCGACAGTTTACGATTGATTATCCTTGTTGTTAATTGCCATACGTTAACGATGTCTTAGGATGTGTTCAGGATGTTTCAGACATGCCATTTTTAATTATTATTGTTATAAAGACGTTCCACGCTCCACTACGTGACAATATTATACAACATTCAATATGTACCCTCCATGCTCGGTTAGCCCGAGTGACGTCACAACCGCCATTCCCCAGGTGGGTCTGATGAAGGAGAAGTACGACCACCGGCTGCTGCTGAAGCACCTGCCGTCGGAGCTGCGGCAGTTCCTGGAGCACGTGCAGCAGCTGGAGTACGCCGACGCGCCGGACTACGCCATGCTCGCCGCGCTGCTGGAGCGCTGCTGCAAGCGCCGCGGCATCCGCGACGCCGACCCCTACGACTGGGAGAAGGACGTGAGACATACATACAGATACTTATATCTATAGCGACATATATATCTATATATTTATTTATTATTAACGATAGATTAAGATGTTTTCCCGCGATGTAAAGAAGCTCTGTCACTGTCCAGATTTTCAATTATCTCAATGGAAAAAGTCATAAATGTTAGTTGTTTCGTTTCGATGTGGAAAAAAATAATGTTGAAATTGGATTTATATTGTTTACTTTTGATATACCTAACTATATGAGATAAAATTAAAAAATATATTTGAATGTTAAAAGTATAACTGTATCTTCCAGTCCGTGCCCACGACTCGACGACCGGTGCTGACGGCCGGCACCGAACACCAGCCCTCGCCCGACCACCAGCCCGACAAGGTAACCAGTCAGCACCCTACACCCTATACCCAATACCCAATACCCTACACACGCTGTGACCATAAAATCTACTGTCCCGACCAAAATTACTTTTTGCCACAGATAACATAATACTATATTAGTATAGGTGCTCCATCCTATATAAAGACAACGCAAAGTCCGGTTGTTCTTCAGAATGTTTTATTTGCTAGTAAAGATGATAGATGACGTTGATCCGTAAACTTTTAAACTATGTTATTATATAATTATGTGTATATATTTACTCCCATGTTTTCTACAGTCAATATTGAAAGACTAACAAGTCATATTTTCCTTTGACTCACAACTAAACAGAAAAAGATATTTTATAATCTTGTCCAATACTTTTTTATATATTTGGAAATGACATGTTCCCTTGTATCAAATATTTGTTTTATCCATATAAATATAATACGCGACACCTGTAAAATACATAATAAAAATGTTGAGATAATTTAAATATCGAAATTATTTCATCTTCAATTTTAAGTCAAAATTCAATTCGTGTGCCCTATAATATAGGACATAATTATATAGGGCGTATATAATAGGGCGTGTAGAGTGAGTGTATTAAATACAAGTACGGTGTGGTCGCGTCCGCAGAGCCGGCGGCGGCCCGAGACCGAGGCGACCACGGCGGCGGCCACCGACACGCAGCCGCAGCGCCCGCGCGCGCCCGCCTCGCCGCGCCACGCGCCCGCGCCCGCGCCGCCCGCCGCGCACCTCAACGGATATGTACGTACACACACACACGTTTTAACATAAATTTTGATAGATAAACATTTCCAATACAAACTTTCATCCTAATTTTCACCCTCTTAAGGAGTGATTAGTGGGATAAAAAGTATCATATGTCCTGCCCAGGGTCTCAAACTACATATCTTCTTACCAAATCTCATCTAAATCGGTTCAGTAGATCAAACTCACAAACTTTACCTCTTTATAATATTAGTATAGACAAGTAGTCAAATACCAATACCTGCTTGCTAGATTGCTATGCTTATATCTGTTTGATATTTATTTGATAATAATATCGCGATAGTTATCAATAGACATTGGACATATTTATCTTGATAATTTCATTCTCTGATATACGTTCTAGCGTGAAAGAGTAACAAACATCTACAATCACAAACTTTCACACTTATAATATTAATACGGACTATGATATCTTCTATAAAACTAATTAGACTTATTATATTTTTCAGTCTACCACAGATAAGCCAACGCCCGAAAAAGAAGTAGAAGTGCGCACCACTCCCGCGCCTTCGCCCGACAGACACGCTAAGGTATGTTAATATATATTTATAAATGATATAATCTGTATGTTGTAATAATAAAGGCCTTTAATGTCCCACTGTTGGGTGTGGGCTTCTCTCAATGCGAGTGGGATCAGGCCATAGTCCACCATGGTGACCAAGTGCGGGCGGACTGAGCAAGTATTTCAAAAACTTGTTAGGTTATCTCAGACATGTAGGTAACCTTGTTGAATATGATTCATACATGAGGATATCGGACGTGCGTGATCCTGGAATAGAACCCGCTTTACTTAGTAATGTACAAAAAGAAAAAAAAACTAAAAAATGGCCGGGATGACGAAATCCAAAAGTATCAGAGGGATACTTTTTGCAAAAGATGTAGAATAAAATAGCGACAGTTAGAGGAAGCTTGTACCCAAAACGAGCCATGTCTTAAAGTTGAACACTGCTATTGGACTGTAAAGAAAAAAAAAAAAACAAGGAAATGAAACGATCTTTTTTGGATATATCGCGAATTTCACTTTGATGTTTGCCGTAATGACATTCAAAACGTTTTGAAAACAAATAGAAATGACAAAGGTAGTTTTATTTAAAATGTTAAATGTTTATGTAAATTAAAGTGTGTATTATATATAATATATAATACCATACTTTAATTTACATAAACATTTAACATTATATATTTATATATATATATATATTTATATTATATATGTGTGTATGTTTGCGTGCAGGAGGCGGGCGCGGCGGCGGCGGGCGCGGCGGCGCGCCCCGAGCGCCAGAGCGTGCCGCCCTGCAAGCCGCGCGCGCCGCACCCAGGTGACCGGCTGAGAGAGACAGACGGACTGACTGACAGGCAGACGGACCTAGAGAGAGAGAGAGAGACAGATAGACATTGAGAGAGAGAGAAAGATTGAGATACATACGATACCTTCACCCTTTTCGGTATCTTTGTTCTCCCCCATTGTTCTTTTTCCTTATACTCTTTTTCATACACTTTTTATATTTATCTCTTTCTCTTATAATTTTTTTATAATTCATTTACTTCTTGTTATAGTTTTTGTTTATTTCTATTTATTTCAAGGTGCATAATAGTTTTAATTTATAAGATTATAAATTAATAAACTTAAAATCCATCTTTCAACAAATAGTATTTGAATTTATGTAATTGTTTTAAAATCATTTTTTTATTTAAAACAATCTAATCGTAAAATATATGTATGTTATATGTCGGCGCTGTCCGTGCGCAGCGGGCGGGCCCACGCTGCTGCGCCTGCGCGTGGTGACGGCGCCGCCCACCTGCGTGCAGGAGCTGGCGCCCGCCACGCCCGACCTCACCGGTACTCTCTTCTCACACTCAGTCTCTGAGGGTCTTTTTGCTATACATTTTATTGCTTTATTCCAAATCGTTTTCAATCAAGTTATTTTATTTTTTACTACCAAATAGGTTTTAGTACTCGTCGATTATAATTTGTGTTTTTTTTTTGAAATGAATGTTTTTTTTTTGCGTTGATAAACGCATCTCTTGAGAACAACTGAAAAAATTGGTAATTTTTTTCTATAAAATTTTCGTGGTAGCCCAAATAAGATTTTTATAGGAAAATTTTTTTTCGGAAAATTTAGATATTATGACCTTAAAGACCATAAAGTTTAATGAACTTGAAGCGAGACGTATGTCGCCAACTTATTAATAGCGTTATAAACAACAAGTTTATGTCCGCGGCTTCACTCGCCTAGTAAGTACATTAATAAAAAATATCCTATGTTTTAATCCAAGATATAGCTATCCCCATTTTGAATTCCATTCAAATCTGTCGAGCCGTTACAGTATGGAGAAGTGACAAACACACGCACGAATTATTACATTTGTAATACTAATTTGTTATTATATATTTCAGGTGAAGCGAGCAGCCCCAGGATAGTAGCCGACGTGGACAGTGTACATTCAGACACGCATTTCAAGAGAGGTGTGTTTTCTTTTGATATAAAAAATTCTGTTAAAATATATTTAAAATATATTAATTGTTAGTGTGGAATAGATAGGCTATATATGATATATAGCATATAGCTTTTCTCAATAAACGGACTATCTAATGCAAAAAGAATTTTTTAAATTGCATGAGCAGTTTCTGAGATAAGCGCATTCCAACAAACAACCAAACAAACAAACAAACAAACAAACTCTGCCTCAAATGAGCGCTCAATCGGTGAAAACTTTTTTTATCACTGATTGTGTATCTACGAGTAGTACTTTTTGATCCATATTTAACAGATATAAATGTGATGCAATAGTATCTGTCCGTCTATATATAAATGTGTGTGTGTCTGTGCCCGGCAGGGCGGCGCGGCGGGCGCGCGCGCGCCGACCAGAGCTACACGCAGTTCGCCGTCATGGACGACGAGAACGTGTCCGCGCTGCAGCAGGTCTGTCCGTCTACCTACCTACCTACCTAACTAACTACCTACCTACCAAACATTTAAGTCATTCGTTCCAAATCATTTGTCATTCTAGATATTTCATTTTCGAATATCAGTCGAGATTGTGGAAAAACAATATTTGTTCCAATTATTTTGATTATTTCTTCCCAAATATATTTTTCTTTACCATATAACATATAAGTTAATGTCGCGGCTTCCGTCGCTGGTAGGTGGGGCGGGGATCAATTTTGTCTGCTCATTTGCTTTGTCTGCAAAGTTTAAATGATTAATTATAAGCTTTTATTATATTAAAACGAATTCTCAATCTTGCCTTACGATCTTTCTACAAATTTTTTGACCTTCTATATTTCCGTCATCAAAAAGGAGAACAAGTGATATCGGTTGCATGTTTTGTAATCGTATTTTTTTTTATGGAATTTCCAAATTTTAAGAAAAAACATCAAAAAGAATGTCTGAGCTAACAAAAGATTTCCCGCTTTGCCCTGCAGGTGACTAAAGGCGGCGCCCTCACGCTCGTGTCGCTGTGGAAGTCGCAGTTCGACGACTCGGAGGAGACCACGGACAATGAGTGGAAGCAGGAACAGTTGCAGGTAAAGTGTATGCAGATTGCAGAGTGAGACAGATATGTGGCCTATGTGAGTGAATGAATGAATGAATGAAAGAGACGAAGAGATTGATAAATGGAATACTACTCGTTCATAACACTTGTATATTTTTAAGTCGATTTGAACTCTTAATGATAATTACCAACGAGTCCTACCAACGTACCGGTGGTAGGATTCTGTCAAGCCTGAGGACTGGATGGGTTGGTACCCTCACCATAGCATAAAACCACCACCATAAAAAGACCACAAACTTTAGATTTAGAAAACAAATAGTGCCATCTCTTGCAAAAATAGCAACCTAAAACTATTATACGTTTTTGACAGAGAGTGTGCCGCCATATTGAAAATCTAATAGATGTAGTTAGAAAAACGTTAAGGAGTAGTGGTGTTATAAATAGTCTTAAAGATTTAGTTTGGTTTGCTGGTGAAATTTTTAAAGGATTTGGAAAAAGTCCAAATTTTTGGAGAAAAAACAATTTGTTATTTTTATGGTAGTATGTTTTTTTTGTGAGTGATGGAACATCAGAGTATCATATCAGTGATTAGAACTGATAAAAATCTTTTGTATTGATATTTGAATGTTTTAAGTTTTTTAATATCAATGGCTTCTCCAATCATCCTAGGGCGATATCGGTTTTTGAAATCAGAAATAACCAAGTTTCAATAGGGAAAACTGGGTAATATTATCATCGTGGGATTGTAAAAAAATCTTTTTTTAAAAAACTACTGTACTATTTAAAAAGATAAAAATAGTTATTAGCCAGCGTTAGCCATATAAATTTTTTTGTCGTTAATTTTTCTGATGTTTTAATTATTATAAAATTAATACTTATCATCCTATTTCGGACTAAGAGAAACCCGAAAAATTTAATATAAAAATTGGTCCAGTCGTTCTTGAGTTATAAATGGTATAACTAACACAATTTTTTTTATATATTTATACGTTATTTTATATTTTTTCTCTTTATTAAAACTTTCCGTGTACCTTAAGGTTAACGCTAACCTTAACATACGAAAAAAAATTAGTTGAATCGGTCGAGCCGTTTTCGAGTTTTGCGCTTAGCAATATTTATTTTTATTTATATAGAAGATAGATGACGATCATTTAATAGCAAGTTTTAAGTAGTACATCCTCTGGGGGATTTTCTTAGATTTTCATATTTTTGCTATTTCATGTTTTATGTCATGACATTTGACATTTTTTTGACATAGTATATTTGTCTGTCTATTAAAAAAAGTCAATCACTCGTTCATTCTACACGACATTGGCGAAGTAAATTGTGCCCAAATGTCACGCCTATAAGCTCCAGAATTAAAGAACATTGAACGTAAGTCGATGCGTGTGTGTGTGAGTGCGTGCGTGTGTGCGTGTATGCCTGTGTCTAACGCGCGTGTATATGTGTGTGCGCAGTCGCCGGAGCACCGCGCGGCGCGCGCGTCGCTGCTGTCGAGCGGGTCGCACGCGGCGCGCACGCAGCTGCCCGCCTCGCACACGCGCACGCACTCGCCGCACACGCAGCGCCGCGCGCAGGACCTCGAGGTCGGTGCACTGTTCTATTATCGGCTCTCGTTTCTCGTGGTCTATTTGCTTGTCGAGTTTTACCGTGAAAGACTAACAAATATACAGTCACAAACGTTTGCATCTGCAACAGTAGTATGATAGTTATAAATTTAAATATAGAAACTACATGATATTTTCAATATTATTCACTTAAAAAGAACTACATTTTAATGAAAAAATTACATACTATTTAGTCTTTATCCCACACACAGGCAGAGAAACCAGAAAAGGAGAAGGAAAAGGAGAAGGAGAAAGAGAAGAGTGAGAAAGCAGAAGTAGTGATCAAACCCACTCCAGCCAAGAGTGCGAAGTGCTGCCTCCACAACGTGGGCATCGACGCATTCCCGCGGCTGCAGCCCGCGCTGCCGCGCTCCTGGAGTCTGCCCGCCATCGGTCAGTGTTACACGTCCTGACCGAAAACGGTCAGGCGGTCAGTCTTAGACGAGCCATCTGAGTTATTAAGTTACCACACTTTTTAAAGCGTACCGCTATCGATAAATCTTATAGCTATGACCGAAAACGGTCAGACTGTCCACTTTACTTAGATAAGCCATTTCCGTCATTTCGTTATGTCGATCACTTTCTATCAGTCTTATACGTGCATAATGACAACTCCTGACAGAAAACGGTCAGGCGGTCAATCTGACTTAGATAAGCCTGGGCCTTTGTATTACCGCGTTATTTCACGCTTCCCGTTTTCGACATGTTTTACACGTCCATAATGATGTCGTCCTGACCGAAGACGGTCAGATAGTTAATCTTACTTAGATAAACCATCTGCGTCATCGCGTTAAATATAATCAATCATTGATACTTCTAGCTATCAGTACATTCTTTTACGTGTAAATCAATATCATTATGACCGATGACGGTCACTCATATGGCCCCAGCAATATCATCCTGACCGAAATCGGTCAAACTTGTAGTGTAATATACTACTACGACTGTATGAGTCGTAAATATTGATATACAAAAACTTAAGATACGTAATTAGCGTCTCAAAAGTGTCTTCAAAAAAGTGCACCATACGAAATTGAATTGTCCTTTTTTTTTAAATCTCTTTTGTTCATTGCTTTTCGGATGACAAAATTAAAACGTACGTTGTTTTGTTTAAAAAGTATTTTATGTGGTGTGCGTAAGGTCGAATTTGTGTTTAGACAGTTAGAACTCTCGAATTTAGAGTGCTATTCTTTAGTTTGACTTAACGTGACATGTCAACGCCACTTTTTGAAGAGATATTTGTCGGTAAATGTGTATCTATTTGTAAAACTTTACTATAAAAGATATTTATTATATATAAAATAAATAATGATAAATGAAACACTGAATTATGTGGTATAATTAAGTTAATAACAAATAAAAATTTAATTATTTTATTAATAATACTTTTTTAATTTTCATATTAAGATTAATTATTTACTATGAAAATATAAATAAAAGTTGAAAAAAGTCGAAGTCAAGAGGGCCGTTGAGTCTTTCGGCGCGCGGGAGAGCTGTGTGCGGCGATGTATGTATACAGTTCATATACGGCCGTAACCATCGCAACGAGTGTCGGAAAAAAGTCTTATTACAATTTTTTATTGATTTTATTAGAGCATGTAATGCGTAATGAGGAGCTCCGTTCCACTAATTTGTGACTTTAATGGTTGCAGGTACCCGCGTCCGCGCGCTGCGGCCGCCGCTGCTGCAGCAGGCGTCCTTCGACGACGGCGGCGGCGGCGCGCTGCGCTACCGCCTCGACGTCATGCGCGGCGTGGCGGCGCGCGACCCCCCGCCGCGCGACCCCCTGCGCCCCCCGGACCCCCTCGAGCCCCTCGACCCCCTGGACGCGTCCCCGCCGCGACGCCGCGCCACCAGCTTGCCGGTCAGTACCTACACACTATACCATACCATAATATGTTATCTATATCACTACATAGTATAAAACAAAGTCGCTTCCCGCTGTCTGTCTGTCTGTCTCTATGTATACTTACATCTTTAAAACTACGCAACGGATTTTAATTCGATTTTTTTTAATAGATAGAGTGATTCAAGAGGAAAGTTTATATCTATAATACATACATATTATAATACAGAAAAGCCGAGAAATTCAAAGATTTGTATGTCATACTTACCGTTAAAACGTACCTAGAGACGAACCCGAGCGAAGCGAGTCGCTAGTCGCAGTATAAAAATGCTATCATAAGCAAGGGGTGTCAAACCTACCATTTTTTATAGTGTTTTGTGATCGAGTATAGTTATTGTCAGCCCTAAAGCTGGTTTCCGACTAACATACCTATAACGGTATGAATGGGATTCGGGAACGGTCAAGATGCTTTCGTTAGACGACTGTATAGATTTGTAGACTACGCTTACATGATGTATCTGTCTCTTTCTTGCTGACTCTTACAATTTTCTTCTCTTTCTTTTTTATATTCTTAAAAAATATCAGTCTTTCTTTGTTTATTAAAATAGAATGCAATATATTTGTATCGATTTTCAATCTTTTAATTAAATTCAAAATATCGATTTTTGATCTATTAATTAAATATTTAAAGAAATATATACAATACATATATTTTTTTAATGTAAAAATGAGCAGAGTTAGTGTAATGTTGTATGGTTTTTCTCACGCCAAGTGTCGAGATGACAGCGCGTGTGAAGAGATGCCGACGTCGCTCGTCTCACAGCGATAAATATTTGATTTAATTATAAGTTCATAATGTAATGTGCAAGAAATAAAAGTTTTTGCTCTTATTTTTTGGTTTTTCATTATTAAAGTCCTCATGTGATGTACGTACATAGTAGTCATTAGTCACTTAGAAAATATAAGTAAATTAAAGTAATTTTATGTACATTGTAGAAATTAATGATTTATATATACCTTTATAAGTTATGGGATAATTAAATTTAAAAAAAAATACAATTATCTCAAAAAGTCAATATATATGTATCCTCTTCTAAATATGACCATTGTCGTATACGTTCTAATGTTACCCTAATTTCAGTCTATTTGAATAAGTACACTTTGATAGATTGATAAATCCTTGGATTGATAGATTGATAAATCCTTGGATTGATAGATCGATAAAATCATGGATGAATAGATTGATAAATCGTTGTATTGATAGATTGATAAATTGCTACATTGACCGTAGAGCATGTCGCGGTCGTCGAGCGCGTCGGAGCCGGCGGCGGGGCGGGCGGGGCGGGCGGGGGCGGTCGGCGCGCGCGGGGCGGGAGGGGCGGGCGGAGGCCACGGTGTCCAGCCGGCTGGAGATCCGCGTGCGGCCGCCGGCGCCCGACGCCGCCTCGCCGGCGCTCGCGGGGAACACCGGTCAGTTGGATTCAGCTTTTTTTATTTATTTTTCAAGTAAAACTTCTTTACGCACGTTCGACTTGGGGGGTGAGGTGGTGGATGCGTTACGAAAAAATGTACGTTCTTTTGTTGCCATGATAACCGTTTTTACTGTATGACAAATGATATATAATATTATATTCTTACCTTAAATGGTATTCTATAAATATGTAATGGTAATATGTCTAATCTGCGTTAATTTTACTATCTGACATATCCTATTTATTTAAAACATAAATTGAATTTCATAAAGAGTACCGATAACCTACAGAAGTTTTTCTTGCGCGTGTACGCATACATTCATACACGCACTCTTGAATATATTTTTTTTATCTGTTTTTATTTTTTAAGCTTCAATTTTAAATACATATTAAGCACAATACTCAGTTACATATACAATTTCTTGAATACATAAAATACGACAAAAATATATATTAAACAATAGGTTTTTAACATTACAATTTATAAGTACTTACTATTTGAATTTAGCTGCCACCGAAGTAGGTTCAGTCAGTAGTTTTTTTTTGTTTGGAGAATCACCTCCATACATACAGGTGGTTATTTGAAATTCACCTGCTAGAGAAGCTAATAGCTATTAAAAGTTACAACCCAACAGAAAACCGACAGAGGTTGGGGAAGTTTGGTTTATCTAGGTCTTAATGGAATATAATATGACCTAATCCGGGATATGAGCTATCTAAATTCTAAGTTTTACGAGAATTCGTTGAGCCATTACAGGACGGAGAATAAACAAAATTATTTATGAATTTTCTTATTACATAATACTAGTGGCTTACCTTCTGTGGCTTGAATGAGTTTCTAATTGTCAAACAGTTTTGTTATTGCATGTTTGTTTTTGGTTCACGCAGAAATGGCTGGACGGATTTTGATGAAATTATGTTTTTAATTATTTTTTTTCTTAAGTTATTGATGACAAGCGCCCTATCGAAGCGTGGGTAAGCCGATAACCAATGTTAAATTACAAAAAATATATTTTAATAGTATGACTTGATATTTTTGATCTAATAGTTGGGGGCATCGTCTCTCAATATATAAAACCTATTTTATAACATTTCGTGTTATAAAAAGTAAAAAAAATAAATATTATTTTATTAGTTTTACGTTATATAATAATTATAACGAGTTTTTTTATATTTTCAGTGAAAATCCACTCAGTGGTGAGCGGGGGTGAGGTGAGACTCAACCATGATGAAGCGTCTGTGTATTATGACGCTACCGAGCACCAAAGAGATAAACGGTATGCACACACAGACACATACACACACACACACACACACGCATACATACACATATTCAAATATGTACAGGTACATAATATGTACATTGTACATATATACAACTTAATCATTTTTCTATTCCGATATACAAATTTATAAATCAATATTTTTTTAATTCAATATTTTATTATTATAATTTACTAAAAGTCACAAGTCTTACCAGTTTGTAGAAAAACAAACCTCGGTCCTGAGAAGAACTGGTGAAACTCAGTAGAAGTGTTCTTTTTTTGTACACTCGAGTACAAAAAGTCTCAGGCTGTTACTGCATAATGCTATAATTAATAGACAGACACTCATTAGTTTTTGCTTTTATAAGTATACACATACATACGTAAAACTAATGTGTTTATAATAATTTCGTTTCCAGCAGGTCTTCGACGAGGAGCGGGGAGAAGAGCCAGAGTCCCGCAATAGAGAGGACTCGCCTGGACGCTATACCTGATAGGTACTTACATATCTTTATATATATAATTCTTCTGTGAGTGTGTATGTCACTGAACTTCTCTCAAACGACTGGACCGATTTTGATGAAATTTTTTGTGTGTGTTCAAGGGGATCTGGGAATGGTTTAGATTCACAATTTGAATAATAATTTTCATCAAAAAAATTATCAAAAAAAGTTTGAAATTTTCAAATTAAAAATTAGAGATAGATTATAGTCTGGAATATGTCTATGATGTGAGTGTGATACTGATGTGATTTTTTCAGAAGTACGTCAGCGGCGCGCGGCGCGGGCGGCGACGGGACGCACAGCTTGAGAGATGTAAGTGTGTCTGTGTATATACTTGTATTGTGTATTTATGTATATCTAGTATAAATATTTGTTCCTTCCCAGATTCGAACTCATGACCTTGTAGAGGCCTACTTTTGTTCGGTGTGTATGTGTTTGTAATGTATACACACTGTGATATATATTGTATGTATCTAGTATAAATAGTAGATCGAACTCGTGACCTCTGGCGTAGAAGCTTACTCGTGATTTTTATTTCATTTTTTCAATGGTAACCAACAAAAGTTACATTGCAAATTTTAATTACTTATAAATATAGTTACAAAATAATTAATGTACTTTTAATTATTACAGCATGTATTATCTCTTCAAGTTATAATTAAACGATGTTAAACTAATAAAAGGTATAAAAGTTATAATATCTATATTAACGAAAAGTTAAAAAATATGAAAATCGTAAAAATCTTAGAAAAACATGCGTATTAGTGTTAAAAAGTAATAGGGCTTTATACATTGCTTTATACAATTAACTATCTTGCTAAACGTATTTTAAATTAATTGAAATATTATTTTTTTCATACCGAATTTATTCACACATATAATATAGTAGTACTAAAACGGAACCTCTCACTTCCAGAGATCAACCAGCAGCACCTCGCGCATCCCGGTGGCGAGCCCCGCGCACCCCCCGCACCCCCCGGCGGGGGGCGCGCACCCCCCGGCGGCGGCGGGGGGCGCGCACCGCCTCGCCAAGTGCGCGTCGTGGAGCGGCGACCCCCCGCTGTCGCCGGACACCACCCCTCACACTGCGGACCTCACCCCCGGTGAGTGGCCTACGTGTCGTATACTTGGGGGGTATAAGTGTATAAATACCTCGGTGGTGTAGGTAGTTACTAGAATGTATGGTTATAAATCCGAACGTCCCGAGTTTGAGTAGGGTCGAGCCAAGTTTAATTATTGAGTCTTTCTATTAAAAAACTAAGAGGTCCAATCTCTCATTGGTCGTGTCAAATTATAGTCCCGCCGGAATGTGAAAGAGACAGGGAGCGTGTGTGTACGCTCTCCCTCACACGCTATAATATCTCATGCAGTTGGCTAGTCTTAGTGAGAAAGTGATTGAACCCCACATTTGGTCCTTCGAGCCGAATACTGAGTTTCCAGTCCAGGACCCAAATATTTCTATCAATTTTCAATTAATACAAGTAATGTATGTGTGTATGTATCTCCTCAGCATTAAGACGAAGAAGACAGAACGCGGCAGACAAATACGCGGCGGACCCCGCCAGGGACCTCAACCTGCGCTTCGCGCGCCCGCGCCGGCGACACCCGCCGCATGCCAGGTAGGAACATATACATATTATAAAGACCGAGAAGTAAAAGGCCATTGTCACCTTGAGTGGTCATTATATTTCGATAAGGGATGCATCCGGTACCGATATATCGTTGATATCTTTGGCTTCCCGATACATCGGAATCGATGATGTTATTTTATCAATAATAATAATAATAATAATAATATGTTGGGACATTAACACACAGCACCATCTAGTTCCATTCCGCGTTCAAACAAACAAACTCGGCCTCCTTATAATATTAGTATAGATTCTTCTGTACTTGTGTATGTCACTGAACTGCTCCTAAACGGCTATACCGATTTTGATGTTTTTTTGTATGTGTTTGAAAGGTTCACTGCATGATTTAGATTCACAACTGGGCCCCCACATATGACTCTGTCTATATTATTCCTAATTATGAGAATACCACCTCTATTATTACTATAAAGATTTCACTAACACTGAGTTTTTCAAACAGCGCAACAAGCCGCTGCCGGAGTGTAACAATCGGCTCCTCCCCACCCCCCGGCTCTTCCTCCTCCTCCGGCTCGCCGCCTCCCGCGCCCCCCGGCGGGCCCCCGGGCCCCCTCGCCGGGCCCCCCGCGCCGCCCGCCGGGCCCCCGCTGCACAACGCGGCGCGCGCGCGCCGGTTCAGACCCAGCAAGGACGGGAAGGAGGAGCTGCCGGCCCCCGTGTACAGTGCTGTCGGTTAGTGTTGGGCGCTCTTTCACAAGTGCACTTTTATAATCGCTCAAACTATAAAAACTCTTTTTCATATATGTATTGTATATGATTCTATTTCTAATGTATGCTTTGTTGGAAGACGTGTCTTGAAGTTTTAATTTATTTATTTTATTTCCTCGTGGAATTCGATGGACGTTATATATATTAATTTCACCGAATTTAACTGATTTTAATGTGATTTTTTATTTGGAACCGAGCCTTTGTTTACAGAGTGTTTACTTTTTTGTTGGTCTTAGTAAGACTGTTGTATTTTAAGTTGCCTTTTTTTATTTGCTTTACGAGTTTTTTTTTATATTTTTTCCATGTTTATTTATTTATTTTACTTAATATCGAATAAGCAGAGTGTGTAGGACCTTCTTGTAAATAGATTTCAAATGTATTTATGTACTTCCCCAAAACGTATGAGTTATACTGTGTCACCTTAGAGCTGGTCTGATGATGGCAATCCGGTGGTGATAATTACACAATTAAATTATTTTCACTTGATATTCTTAAATTAAATAATTAAAAAAATGTATTTTTTTGTTGTGACCTTTATATTGTAAGAACTTGTGCTATATTAATAAAAAAAAACAATTGATCCAATATTTTTTAATTTATGTATATATTGATCGTGAAAACATTTTTTGTCCTTCTCTAAATAGTTGTTTTATTTTTATTTGTTTTTAATTATTTTTTTAAATATATTCAATTTGCTGTCTTTCTTTTGCTTTCTGCGCGCAGTCTGTAACGCTGATTGTGAGGTAATACTATAAATATTTGTTTCATATATGTATTTAGTTTGTCAGTGGTAACAGCTTCGATTTCCTTTATGTGCAAATGTTTGTTTCGACCAAAGTAAAAAAAAATACAATCATTCGTTTTATATGCATGTTATGTTATAATATATTTATTGATATTAAAACTTAATAGTAAACTTAATAGCTGTTGAGTTTCTCTCGGGCTCTTCTCAGCACAACTGCTTCCCGAGCCGGTGGTAGCTTCCTCACGGACTGACTACACTGACGCTCTTTAAATTATATTGATATTTCAAAAGTGCTGGTAATAAGTCTAATTGAATAAAGTTTATTTCATTTCGTAGTTATATATAATCTAGTATTCAACTTCACATTTAATCAGTATAGAACATTCTAGAAGAGAACGTTCAAGAACATTCTAGAAGAAAGTCTTTAAGTACTAGAAAAGGTTATTATAGTAACTTTAACATTATCGTAATCGTAAACTTGACATAAGTGACTTTATTGTGTTTAGATTTGATAAAAATGTTTTTTTTTTATTTTATTATGTCACAAAGGTTTTTTTTTAATTATGCTGTAAGGGTTTTGATATTGCTTTAAGTTTATGGTATATACGCGTAGTAGATAAAATAAAGAGGTGATATGTCGTCTCATATCAGTGCAAAAGTGACTTAATACAAAATAACAATTTTTGGTTTAAGTATTGACAAATTCATACTAATATTATAAATGTGAAAGTGTGTTTGTTTGTCACTCTTTCATCGTCGAAATGGAGTGACGTGGCTTTTAACCGCGGGAGATTATCTAATTCCCACGGGAAAACACGTTATAACACAACCCAAAAAAATATTTATGATCAGAATTACTTGAAACTTGGTACTAATGCTCTTCAATAAAATTAAATAAATACGTGTTTTAGCATTTTTCCAAATTTATCCTATGATGGGGTAAAATAGGGGATGAAAGTTTGTATGAAAGTACCTTTTTAGATATTTTTTTGTAGTTTTAGCACTAGCGAAGCCGCGGGTTTTGCTAGTAAATAATATATCATTATTTTTTAAATTTAAATATGTACAGTTAATAGACATTCGTTTTTTAGCAATAGTTTTTTTTTTCTTTTAAAAAATTCTATTGTATTTTTGTTATAGAAGTAATATTATGCCAGTTTTACACTGACTGACTATTTTATTCATTTTCATCCACTGTTTAGTTTCATTGTTTCATTATTCTTATTAACTTAAACAGAATATCATTTATTTCATCAAAAAACAAAATATTTATGTTATACTTCCTTCCCCAGGTTCCGGACACAGACTGTGACGAAGCATCGAAACATCTGTGACGAACAGACGGACATAGCCGGGTCTCTGACGTGACAGCAGGAACCAGGAGAAACCTCTTACTAACCTAACTAGTTAATTGGTTTCATTGGTTTGTGTTCCATTCATTGGTTCATTGGTTTTGGTTTAACAAAATATAGGGTTTATGTCCTTATGTGGTGATATTTTTATATGAATTGATGGGTTTTTCGTTTATTTAAATGATTAATTGGTTAGCTTTGGGTTAGTGAGTGGACATAAAGTGAGGAAGAAAGCAATTTTTAAAGTTATTGCGTTTATAATTCTAACATATAATATCAAAACATCGCGGTGTTCATCTTTGAAAAAAATATATATAAAAAAAAATGTTTTAAAACGAGAAAAATATCTTTAATGCCTTAATTTTTTTTACTTGCTCCTATCATCACTACGATATGCTAATATGTATATCTAAAATTGTTGATAAATCAAAATGGCCGAAAATTATTTTTATATAAAAAAATGTAAAAAAATAGATTCACGTAATATAATTTCGCTTGACATTTTCACACGGATCGTAGGCTATTTTAAACCTTATTTAGTGATAAGGATGGTAATAGCGTAAAAGGAAAATGCAGATATAGATAAATAATAAGTTTCATAATAACATTACCAATATATTACTTTTATTTGTTTTTTTTTTATTTCATATCCAATATAATATTTAATTATAAATTTAGAATATGTATACGATCTTAGAAAAATATATGTTATATTCATTTTTTTTTTCAAATTAAAAGATAATAATTAAGAATCACCACAAACTAATAATATAATTTACTGTTTTTCTATATCTGTATACAATTCGCCTCGCACCAGTAAGGGTGAGGTGGATGTTAAAAATAAAAATTTTAGATCTCATTAATAGGAATCGCCTTTGGAGCTATCGGCTTGATCATTTCGAGCAATTTCTGTCGAATTTGCTTAAAAAGCCAAATAAGCTGTAAGAGCTGCGATTTGCACTGTTCCTGCAATAGTGGCATAACTCGAAATTGGACAGTAAAATTAAAAGTGGAAAAATAATTAGAAACACTGTTGTAATTAGTTAGAAAAAAGCAGTCGAACTAAAAAGAATTCTAAAATATCCACTATCATAAATAGTTTTTTTTCAAGTTATGCCACTTTTGCATAGCTATCAAGAGCTAAATTGAAATAAATATATGACGATATTGTATATGAATGCAGGGACGTTTCAGGCTGAGGTTAGATATATTTAAAGACTTTGTGCTCACTTTTCATTTATAAATAACTTATTTGCTTTTAAAAATATGTTAATAATTATATTATTTATAAGTGCATTGAGGCGGTGAGAAAACATGCCTGTCGGTTATTCTGTTTGATTTAAACTAAAATTAAGTATAGTTTTTTTTTCTTTTTCTTTATCTCGTCTCAAATAATATTTATTTTTAGTGGATGTTACTCTCATTTTTGTATGATAGTCATTTTGTGGTGCGCGATTTTCTGTCAAATTGTGGTGCCTTTGAAGTTTTCGCTTAAGTTCTTTATTGAGAGATATTTATACGTTACGCTAACGCCTTCCTGTTACAATGACTATTGTTTGTGATTGATATTAAGAATATAAGAAAATGTTACTGTCATTTGAAGTAAAATATCGAAAGTTCAGAGTTCACTTTTTAAATGTCACTTTCAACATGGTCGGCGCAACGTGTAAAATATTTATTTTATTTGTAAATACATAATACCTACCTTGTATCTGTATATTATCAAAGTTTAAGTTGAACGCTTGAATAGTTCTAACTTGTATTGTTACATCGAGTTTTTCCCGAATATCCCGGAGTCAGAGATACTTTTTAATTGTAAAAAGAAATTGTTAGAAAAAATCATGTTCGAATGAAAATATTTATATATGGTGTTCTTTAATCTTTACTAAGTTTTAATGGAATCGTGGGAACATTGAATGTTGCTGAAAAAGTGGCATAAGTATAAATTAATACACATATTTTTTGACCAAAATTAAGAATTGAAAAGTTTCTATGGAAATGTTTTTTTTTACTATTTGTCCACTTTGCCAGTTAACTTGATATCAGTGAAATAATATTGACACGCCAGTTCTAAAAGAATTTAAATAAAAAGAAATTGTGCTAAATTAGTCTAGTCATTAGACTCTAGGATACGCACAATTAACGTTAAAAATGTCACATCTCCAAAAAAAATGTCTCTATTCCTTATAAGACTTTAAAATATAAATAAATATAATAATGCCAAGAGACTTAGCTATTTGGTCCTCTACGTTTAAAAGTTTATTTAATGAAGACATTCGTGTATAGAAAATCTTCTTGACTTTGAAAACTTTTTTAATTTTTTTTTTGGTGTGTCAATGTTATTTTAACATGGGATTTGTAATAAAATGGAGGATCAAAGATTGTAAATTTGTCGTGACGTTTGATACTTGTACAATTTAATGCTTAAGTATGTTTCGATTAAAATATAGTCGATAGTGTTGCACGGCTCTCATTCTTATCTGCAGATATAATATTACAATTAAAAACGAATGAGATGGTGGGTGATGCTCTTATTTCGTATACGTTGACACGTAATGAAAGCATTTATTTTTTATTTTTTTTTAGTTTCGCATTTTCAATTGTAATATTATATCGGCACAACTCAAAATGTATAATAACTTCGATATATTATATATACGTTATGTAGACGCCATAAAATCTAGTCCCTTCTGCTTAGTATAGATAAAAAAATGTATGTAATAAATAATTTAATATAAAGTAATAGTATTAAAGATTTAATTTTTTTTCCTCATTTACAATTTTGGCTGTCAACGTGACAGCTGTCAAAATTGTAAATGTGAAAGGTCGAGCTGAGTTATCGCTTGGAGAGGTATGGACGGTTGTCTGTGACAGGTGACAGATTAGTTTTTTAAATTCTACGTCCACGACAACTGACCACAGATTCTCAAACATTCTAGTCTACGAACGGCTTCCGTCTCATAGGTTTATCAAAAAAAGATTGAGACAAAAGTTATTTTTGAAATAAAATTATGTATAAAATTGTTGTTATATTGTAGGCCCTTTTTTAAATGTTTTCGAGTCGCGCGGCTGAAAATCGCGTGATCGCTACAAGTGGCGTTTTTTTTTTATGAATGCACGCTCGGTTACGTTTTTTTTTGCCATTTTCTTTTATATTTACCAAAATATGCACAATGAAATTTAAATAAAAGGTAATTTGTCCTTGAATTGTGGTTTTATTTCACCCCGTGACGTCTTATCAACAGTTCTTGTTGTAAATAACTCAGTTTATGTAAATATTTGCAGCATAGAAGCGGAATGCATAATGGAATACGTATGAAAATATTAGAGTTATTTCGTAATTCTTTGTAATGGACTAAAATTCCATAGCCATTTAGTACGCCGGGATAATTAGCAACATATGTCCGTCTAAGGGCCAAAAGACTGTACTAACATTTAACAAATTCCATACAAAGAAACTGGACAGCAAATTTTGCCAATTTTGCATGGCCCGAGTAAGCACTAATAATATAGTAAGAATAAACACGCCATCTGGCGTTGTACAGCAAGAGATGCATCGATTAGGGCATTTTTATTTTATTGTTTACGCACTTATATTTATTAAATTGAATTTAGAAAATGCAAAAAAAAAGTTTTTGGTAATACTCTAAACATGGAAACAGCGCCATCTATGAATACGTAGTACACACTTGTTAACTAACTACTAAGGGATGATCTGTATTTTTCTTTAACAAGATTACATATAACGCCATCTATTGAAACTTCTAGTAAAATATGTGTTTGATCTTTATATAAGTTGTATTTTGCATTATTTGCCTTATATTAGTCCCTATTATTGTCCTAAATGTATTTATAATATATACAAATTTCAAAGCAAGTTTTATTACTAATTAGCTATGTTAAAAAAATTCTTTATACTTTATAGAATACTAGCAGAACCCGCAGCTTCGCTCGCGCTAAAACTACAAAAAAATATCTAAAGAGGTAGTTTCATACAAAGTTTCATCCCCTATTTTACCCCCTTTGAGGATGAATTTCGATAAAACGTATTTATTTAATTTTATTGAAGAGCAATAATACCAAGTTTCAAGTAATTCTGATCATATATATTTTTTTGGATGGTATTATAACGTGTTTTCTCGTGGGAATGAGATAATACCCCCGGTAAAAAGTAGCCTATGTCACTCTCCAGCCCTCCAACTATCTCCACACAAAAAATCACGTCAATCCTTCACTCCGTTTGGATGTTAAAGAAGGACAAAAAACAAACAAACACACTTTTACATTTATAATATGAATTAGACTAGCGATTACGTTTCAACATTTAGTATAGATTTCTCAGAGATGAGATATTTTCCCGCAGTAAAAAGTATCCTGTATGTTGACCCGGATAACCGGCTATCAACTTAACAAATTTCATTAAAATCTGTCAAGTGGTTTTCTCATGATGCGTTCCCAGATGGACAAACAGACAAAAATTTTGAAAACTATTGATTCGGACTCTATATCGATAATAATGACTATTTCAATAAGGTTTTCCAAAAAATATTTAATGTATGTACAGATTCGACACAATTAGAATTTTATTGTACGTGTAGATAATAAAAACGTTGCCTGGGCGATGTCCCCCTATAAGTTTTTCTTTACATTTATGTAATTTAATTCTCAAATACTGTTAAAATTTTCATACTTAGAATCATTCTGATAAAAGTACCTTACAAGTTACATGAGAAACATTTCATTATAATAATGCTAATTAAATTGAGTTCTTGGCTATCTTTTGGCACGTTTGATAAAATATTATGGGAGTAAAATATTTACGATGCGCGCGCACATCGACAGCAAAAAAGCGACATGATGAAGTTAGCTGCGTTCCTTTTACAAACGGGATGAAATCTCCAGCTATTTTTGTTCTGTTGCCTCTATCTGCGGGCTGCGGACTATATATAGTCAGCCCGTGAGGAAGCTACCACCGAATCTCAAAGCAGTTTTACTCAGAAGACCCGGCGAAAACTTCATAAAACATGCACGATTATATACAAATAAAACAAACGTATTCAATTCAAATCTATATTTACATCTGGCCCTGACTAGACAGTACTGTAACAACAAAACATACATTTATTGTGTCCGTCTCCTCGACTACGTATAGTCCGAGGGACAACACTAATTACATTAAGATATACACCAATATTCTAAAAATACAGAAACCAGTTGTGGTAGTTTAAGATCTGCAAATAAAATATTCATACTTTACTAGCACATTATTTTGATTAAATTAATTACATCGTCAGGCCCTAAGTAAATACGCACATCTATAAAAAAATGATTTATCTATACTTATTATAAAAATAAGTCCCCCGGCCGCGTCTTTCTGTCCTCCTGTCTGTCCTCCTGTCTGTCTGTACGCGATAAACTCGAAAACTACTGAACGGATTTTTATACGGTTTTCAACAATAGAAAGAGTAATTCTTGAGGAAGGTTTAGGTATATAATTTATTATGCTTTTATGTAAATTAGCTGAAATACGGCGACAAATGTTGAAGAGGTCGCAAAAAATCTCGCCAAATGGGAACTTTCCACGCGAACGCCGCGTAAACTAGCAAAGATACAGTTAAGTAATGTACTAGAGAATTCAAAATCTATAAAAATGCTACAAAAAAGTCCGCGATAGCATATCTCTATCTCTTACGGTTGACTTACAATAACCACTTTTATGTTAACATTTTTAATTAAAAACATTACGTTATTTTCAAAGTTATTTTCTTTAGTTCGGTATTAATCCTTATCCAAATGAATATTTTAGTTAGCTTAGTCATTTAATGCAGATTAAAATTGCTCTTTACACTAAATCAATCAGATGAATAGTTTTTGAGATATCGTTGTTAGAAGTAATTAGTAGCGAAACATTTTTAATGCTTGGCGAGCATTGAGATGCCTACGGCGAGTCCATCCCCTCTGCCCCGCATCGCTCGACCGCCTGCTCAAGCTATATAAACCGGGCGATGTAGCGCGCGATCCTAGGATACTTTTTACCGCGGGAAAATATCTTATTTCTGAGGAAAAATACAAAAACTGCAATGTAAGAGTATACTAATATGTAACACCTAAGAATTTAGTTTTTGGTCATCTGAACGCGGGCGGAGCCGCGGGCAATGCTAGTATATAATATTTTAAAGATTCAACATTTTTACACCACTATACACTTCTTACATTTGATACTATGAGATGTCTCGGGAATATTTAAAAAAAAAATAGACTGCGTATCTGCCATATGTCAGTTTTTACTTAGGACCAACGATATGTTCAGGAATGTATTTTTCATTATTTGGGTTACTTTAAACGGGTTTTGTACCCACAAATACGTTTGAAAGTTGTTTTCAAGATTTTATTTTGCTTGCTTAATAGTTATTATAAATATTTGATAGCCTCTGAAGTGTAAGATCTTCCCACTCTTGGGAAGATCTTACAACGGACGAGTAAAATTAGGTAAAGTAATTAAAGTTTATACAATATCAAGTGCTTTATATACAATATAAAATGAAAATCTAATAGGAACAGGAATTACTAAACTTATGTACATACATACTAGAATAACATCGCGGAATACATATTTTAACTACTTTTATTTTGAATAAAATGATCTTTCGGATTTATTCATCAAAGAATATATTACGTGAACTACAACAGACTGCGAATCGCAAATCAAATATGTTAGAATAGAAGATCTGAAGATGAAGCGCAGTCTCTCCCGTGACCATGATTGCCGTAAAGCTTTGAAACGTCGGGAACCAAAAATCAAAATAAATTCGCGAAGAAATCCGAAAAGATAGTTTTATTTAAAATGTCAAATATTCGTGTAAACCTAAGAAAGTACTATTTTTATTTTACGCTATTATTTGCTAAAGTTAGAAAGAGTCTATCTGTTTGTAAGCCTCTGTTGTTGCTTTTAAGTAAATAATGAGTCAGATAATTGTTCTAATTTCTAAGAAAGTATCCAATTACGCGGAAACTACAATATAAATGTAAAGTAGATTATTCGAGAATAAAATCAATGTTGATATCGATATTAAAACGAGTTTGTAGCGTTTTTTTTACCTAGAGTTACAACGTACAAACAGATATCTTATTAATTTTTGATACCAGCACTTTCTTGCTCAAATACATTGAAGTTAGTGTCAATTCGATTAAATTTTCTTGTTAATAACTTCAAAGCATAGAGCTTAGAAGAATTAGCTGTTGTAGATCGAGGAGCCACCCTTATTGGAAGCGTTTTGATGGACACTTTCATACACAGAGACTCCTCTTTGCTTACTTCTATGCTCCACGCTTCAAAGCACGCCACTTGAGCACAGATTAATGTCACGCAGAAGTTAAATTGTCATTAGTTAAAGATTATTATTTATCCAAAAATGACATTATTCCAAAATGCCACTTTTCTTCTTCAAGGGAACGTTTTACAAACAAATACTTACATATAAACAAAATTATCTTTTAAACTAATCTTTGATATTCTACAATGTAAAACGTCCTCCGCTGAAGAAAGATCAGATGTATATTATTCTTATAATTAAAGTAACAATCTATTTAATAAAGTTTGATATGTACCGCTTATACGCTAAGACAAAGTTATACCAAAATAGGATCGTCAATAAAATATAAAGGAAATCAAAGCCATGTGTTAAATGTTTAAAAAATATCTACATAAGTCATATTTTTATTAGTGTTTTTGCTGATGAATAGAAGCTGTATTCAGTTGTTGAACCTAAGGTGACTTCTTTCAAGTAAATGAAGATTTTTTAATAGCATTTGAAATAATTTTTGCGCATTTTGGTATAACTGCGTAGTAACTTTACTTAGTCTTTCATTTGGACGACAGCTTTTCGATAAGCTCCTGTAGAGCGAGAGCTTTTGCGAGCCTTCGTCTGAAGTCCTGGAAGAAAGAAATATTGTTCTATTAATAATAATATCAATAATGTTCTTAGAAAATTATAATTTACTTAGATTTATTATAGGAAGACTGTAAAGACTCTTTACTTTAAACTTTAATTTATTTAAGTCCCGAGTCGGAGAAATTTTAACTGCTTCGTTGTTAGCGGCCAACATGTACGGCTCCAGATCCGAAGGTCCCGGGTTCAAGTCTCGGGTCAAGCCAAGTATAGTTGGGTTGAATAAGTTTTTGGGATTTTTGCCAAGAAATTCCACATAAAATGAAAATATAAAAAAATCATAATTCTCCAACACTGAAATAGTCTGGTGATCACATCGGTCCTACAATGTGTTAAATATTACCTTGTATGAAATACCAACCTGATGCAGGGCCTGTCCGAGCGCGGGCACCCGCGCGACGAACATGTCGCGCGTCATGAGGCACAGCGCCTTGCCGTTCATAGGGAAGCGCTCGGGGAGTCCCCCGCGCCGCGACACCCACGCCCCCACCTGCGCGCGACACCACTCGCGCGGGTCTGTGACAAACAATCAAATGTCATGATATGACGACACGTTTGGCTCAGTTTATAGTGACCCTACTTGCTGTGCCAGCGGTCGCGGGTTCGAGTCCCGCTGAGGGCAATCATTTGTGTAATGACGAATGTTTGTACTCCAGTCATGGGTGTTTATATTTATAATATGTATGTATTTAAAGTTATATATGTGTAGTGTATGAACTATCTGGTATCCATAACACAAGCATCGTAGCTTATCATGGAACTAGATGGCGCTGTGTGTTAATGTCCCAACATTTAACAATAGTTATATGAAACTAAGGAAATATGGCTTTTTTGTACTTTTTCTTACAATTTAGGAATTCATATGTGAGACCCCGAAGAATAGCCTTACAAGTCAAGATATCTCTAACGTTGGGATGGTTAAAGATTATATATACATATGTATCTATTATCTACGAGTATATCTTAGTCCGTTTACATAGACAGCGTTCCTAAAAATCGCTTAAAATTGAATATCGATATATAAAAATCGTATAAAACTAGTTATTTGTTGATGTTTATGTCATAATGCTACGGTTTGGTCGTCTTTATCATAGGAAAAAGTTAAATACAGGAAGCCGGCCGCGACCCGCGATAACGAGCTCGCGACACGCCAAGGAAATGAGACATCTTACTTCAACATTATGCGATATTATATCCAAATTATTTAAAAAGGATTGCGAAATGGCAAAGTCTCATTATCTGAGTAACAAGATAGAAAATAGTGGTAATAAAATTAAAGCTACATGGAAAATAATTAACGAGGAAACTGGAAAGAGTAAAACTCTAAACAATAGCTTTAAATTAAATATAGATAATAAATACATTAGTTCTGACTCTGAGGTAGCCGCCGCGTTTGAAACCTTTTTTACCGACATACCAGTTTCCACTACTAGGTCTCTGAACTCTTCACCTGCCACTGCGATCAAATTATTGGAACAAAATGTGGAAGAATGCAATATTAGCTTTAAGTTCGAAAATATAAATGCACAACAAATTATAAATGTATTTAAATTACTGAATGTTAAAAAAACAAAAGATCTTTGGGGAATTTCTGTTAGCATCCTTAAACCACTTATTGATGTTGTTGCATCTGACTTAGCATTAATACTTAATAAGTGTGTAGAATCTGGTGTGTTTCCTGACTTAATGAAACTTAGTAAAATTATTCCTTTGTTTAAATCGGGTTGTACCTCTGATGCCACTAATTTTAGGCCTATTTCAATATTACCTACATTTAGTAAAATCTTTGAAAAAATAATGTTAACTCAAATTACGAAACATTTTTATAATAATGAACTATTACATGTAAAGCAATACGGTTTCACTCGCGGTCGTTCAACAGCCGATGCTGGAGTCGCGTTACTTCTAAATATATTTGAGGCCTGGGAGGAGTCACGTGATGCACTTGGCATTTTCTGTGATTTGTCCAAGGCATTTGATTGCGTTCATCATGAAACGTTGGTCAGAAAATTACACCACTACGGAATTAGAGATAAGGCTCTGGATTTACTTAGATCATATTTGAATGAAAGAATCCAGAGGGTAGACGTGAATGGAAAGCGTTCCCCTGGATCAGTTGTTGAAATGGGTGTACCACAAGGTTCAATTTTGGGTCCTTTTTTGTTCCTCATTTATATAAATGACCTACCATACCTCGTAAAGGATGACCACGGGATAGTTTTGTTTGCTGATGATACATCTTTAGTTTTTAAAGTTAACAGACGACAAGCAGTAATTGACGATGTGAACATTGCTTTATCCAAAGTGGTACAATGGTTTAATGTCAACAACCTTTTACTAAACGAGAAAAAAACAAAATGTGTAAAATTCACTTTACCAAATGTTAAAAGTGTAAAAACCAATGTACGACTGAATAATGAGGAACTAGATCTAGCTGATACCACTGTATTTCTAGGCATTACATTAGATGCCAAACTCCAATGGGGCCCTCATATTTCTCAATTATCGAATAAGCTCAGTTCTGCAGCCTACGCGGTTAAGAAAATACGTCAATTAACAAATGTAACGACAGCTAAGTTAGTATACTTTAGCTATTTTCACAGCATTATGTCATATGGTATTTTACTATGGGGTAATGCTGCTGATATTGACACAATTTTTGTGCTGCAGAAAAGGGCTGTTCGAGCTATATATAATTTAGGCCCAAGAGAATCTTTGCGGAATAAGTTTAAAGAAATTAAAATAATGACTGTACACTGCCAATACATCTATCAAAATCTAATATATGTACATAAAAATATTGATAAATTCAAGAAATATAGTGACCTGCATAATGTAAACACTAGAAACAAAAATAAGCTAGTTCAGCCCACCACTAGGCTCCATAAAATTGGTAATTCCTTTATTGGTAATAGTATTCGCTTTTACAATAAACTACCAGATGATACTTTAAAACTGTCAATAAATAAATTTAAAATTTACATTAAAAGACAATTAATAAATAAATCCTATTATAATGTAAAGGATTATTTAAGTGATAAAAAAGCTTGGGAATGAATTGCTCTTTATACTGAAGTAAGGATGTTTGTGAAACAATGATCACAATAAAAAATGTTACTTGGCTGAGTTTCTTGTGGGTTCTTCTCAGACCAGGGCGCGTTACGAACCCTCGTAGCTTTAGTTTAAGTCTTCTAATTGACGTACACAAGTGATCATTGAATTGATACAATGTGTAAAAAGAAGTAAATAAATAAATAAATAAATATGTAATATGATTTCATATTTAATTGGGTAGCCTAGAGATGGTTTAGTGACTAGAATGTACGACTGCGAATCTGGAGGCCTTGGCTTCAAGTCTGGGAACCAAGTTTAGTTACTGAGTTTTTCTGTAAAAACTCTCAGTAACAGCCTGAAATTGGGAAATTGATTGAGTTATACGACCGTGCTACAGAGAGCATGTGCCTTGTTGCTTCGCGGCTGATCTCTCGTGGCGAGCGTCGTATTGTCACTTTTTTGCTAGCAAAATTTGATAGTGCAAGAAATAGACTACACTTGTGTCTGCGCGTATACTTGTGGTCTATAATATCTTCTGCGTATATCAAGATTGGCCACAGTGGCCGAAATCAAAAGGATATTATTAGGGCAGACCTTTGTTCAGCGTGGACAGGGTTAGGGGTTGATGTATTTATTTTGTCATTTCATACATGGCAAAGGTGAGAAGTCTATTTGATGAGTATATAGGTATGAAAGAAAAGACAACAATGGTACAAACGAAAGAGGCATCTGTATATTTGACAACTCTTCCATATAGCATGAACTTAAGATACGTATGTATGTATGTAATAGTAGTAAAAATCTTACCTAATGGTAAGTCATCCTCCTGCAGCACCCTCAGGTCTAGGGCGCCCCACACGCCGTGGGCGGGCGGCACGCGCTCGCATCGCGCTTGCGTCGGCATCTTGATCAGGGTTGGTTCTAAAATGATATGGTTGCGGCGTAAGAATTAAAATTATATATAAACAACCTATATAATAATACTACTATATAATGCGAATGTGATGTATGTATGTTTGTTACTCCTTAACGCTGAACAGCATTAGCAGAAATTTAGTAGAGAGACTATGACTCACTTAGGCTAATGTTAATAAGTCACCATTTTTTAAAGTCAAAACTTACACAAAATTCATTATAACTATAAAACTATAAAAGTAAAGTATACCTAATTAATATATTTATTATTTAAATTATAATATAATAAGACTGTAAAATTAAAAAAATATAAGGGTTTATTAACCCTAATAATCTTATCTATGTAATTAATATTGTTGAGATATCGCGTGACAAACATCAAAAAATAGCACACGCTCCAATTGAGCATCTTTATTGAATGAAGTCTTTAAAAAGTTTCAAATAATCGGTAACTTTAAAACATCTGCTTCGAGAATCCACTTAAATTAACTATCAAATCAATCTATTTTTAAAAATAAAGTTCTGTCAAACATCCTGCTACGTTTAAAAAAAAACTGAAAGAAAACATGCGCATAATTACATAATGGGCGCCATTTTAATCCGTCATGAGTACGGACGCGTGGCCCACATCCGGTTTCCGGCGGATTTGAATGCGATCAGTTTCCGCACCGTATTGAATGTTTTGTGTTTACCGATTTTTTTAGTGTAACGGATTTCCGACGGCATTGTGCGTCGTGGGTTAAGGCCTCAACTTGTAATAGTTGCATGAGCTGGCAATTTGTTGTATAACACATGTGACATAAACGGTTTAAGTTATTACTTTGAATTATCTTAACGACGTTTTTAATAAGTTGATTTTGCCGTTTATGGCGAGATTTTATTTTAATTTTTGGTTCGCGATGTTTTGAAACTTGAGAGAGAGATCATGAATTTAAAATGTCAAATATGAATGTCATGGGTTAATACAGAAGTTTTTTTTATTATGAATAATATGTATGTAATTTTTTTTTATTATGAATAATATGTAAATACTTAGTACATGCATTATTAGAGAGAATCTTTGTATGGATGTTTGTTACTCTTTCACGCTTGAACGTTTGAACGGATCTGAATAAAATTTGGCACGGAGATAGATTATAAGGATGAAATAATACGTAGGCTACTTTTTATCCCGGAAAAATTTACGGTTCCCGTGTAATATGTTTGTTTTTGTTTCCCGCTAGTCCTCTATAATAATTATATATATATTTATCAGAAATAGGTCACTTTTTTCAAATTCCTAATTTAAGTTAAATATTTTTTAAATGTTTAGCAAACGTGTAATTATTGTACAATTTGATATTCGAAAATGTTATTATGTATGTGGTTCTATGAGCAAGCCATAATTTCAGAAAAAGTTGTAAATTTAACTGTTTTTTCGTCGTTTTAGTAAAGCATTGGAAACTTCCGAAATCAAAAACCTCAACACGAAAAATTCCGAAAAGTTTTTTATTTAATATGTCAAATACTCAAGTACCTAAATCTAAGAAGAAATGAATGAAAATAATTATTTTAGTAAAAAATATTTTATCTCTTTTTTTATTCCAAATAATTTTCAAATAAAAATGAAATGGTATAAGTTAACGACAAACATATTTTTTAAATACTTAATAAGTATTATTTAATGCATTTTGAGTAGAAGTGGAACTTTTCTTCATTAAAAAAATCATAACAACGAAGATACAAAAGTATAATATAAAAAAGTATTTATTTTGATAAAAATAAAAGAGTAATTGTTCGATTCCGGAAGTCAAAACAAGTATTGTTTTTGATAGACGATACGAGTCGACGAGACAAGGTCGAGGCTATCTGCAGTTGATAATAGTGCCATACATGAATTGTTACAATACTAGCTTTTCACTCGATAACACTCGCGTCAGAAGCGACATGAGACATCTGACATTTAGAAATGTTTAGTTTAGGGTGTTTTTCAATTCAATGCTTTTGTTAATGGCTTCAGAGCGTGCCAGTTGAGCACAGATTAATAATTCGCCAATGCCAACGCAGATAGGGTGTTTTTATGTGTGTATCTGTATTAAACATACGGATAAATTGCTATTAATTTACACATATATTTTAATATGATTTGTCATAAATAAAAAATATATATTAATTTAAAAAGATTTTTATTAGTAGTAATTTTCAATTACGCTACTTAAAGTGGTATAAATCATCTATTTGATATATAGATCTCCTTATGTAGCACCCATCGTCTTGGCGTTCTCCCATAGCGAGAGGATGCGACGCCGGACGCAACGCAATCAAAATCGACACATCCGGTCCCATATTATAAGTTTTTTGTTTTCGTTTAACGGCCTATTGTTCGATCGGAAACGTCTCCGCAGATGTTAATGAATTTGTTAGAGTCGAGTTACGGTTGTGTTTGAATTTGGTAATCTATACTTCACGATGTTATAGTTCTTAATTTTTATATTTCCGTAGTATTTATATTCTATGTACTAATGATAAAATTCCGAGTCGAACTGTAGACTAAATATTTTTTGGAAAATATTATTTAAATTGTTATTATTATCGATACAGTCTGTCTGGGAACGCATCACGAGAAAACCACTGGACAGATTTTGATATAATTTGGTACGATGATAGCTGGTTATCCGGGTCAACATATAGGATACTTTTTACTGCGGGAAAATATCTCATTTGTGAGAAATCTATACTAAACGTTAAAACAAGTCGCTAGTATATCATATTTTCTTTGATTTCTACCATACTAATGTACATAATAATTATTACTTAATGAAAGTATTTTATGTAAGTTTAAATTGAAAATTCTTTACAAAGTATTTTTGTATTAAGTAAAAAATATATGCAAATTAAATGCATTATAAAAGTATTATTATTTACACGTGACACATTATACTGTCTATCTCCACTATCTTTCAAGGCAATCTAAGGACATCACACCTCTTCTTATAACCTCTATTATAGATAGCTCGTTTTTCGCCCAAAGAATCGGCATTGCCATTCAGTGAGAGAATACGGTTAGCATTCTTGCCACAGTTCCACGCGGACATGACTTGTACTGTAATTTAGTGTACATTTGTTTTGTATATATCTAATAATTAACATAAAAACTAAAAATACATAAATGGACATCAAAAAGCACGAAAAAATAAAGGATAAGTGATTAGTAGTTTTCATTTACTATAGATACCTAATTAGATTATTTTAGAAGTCGGTGTGCTTTGATTTGTCGGTAGTCGGTGTCAGCCGATACAGTGTTATTTAAGTCCGTTTTATTTTTTTTAAAAAGCTTTTATTTTTCCATCTTTAGTGCAAACATACTACTATGTTAAACTACTATGTTAGTAGTAAAGTAAGAAGAAAGTATTTTAAAAATTCAGTAGGTGAAAAATCAATCATCCTCTATTTTCTACACTTAGGGATGGATTTTCTTTTCAAAATTAAACTGGACCAACGTTCAAGTATATCCTATCCAATAAAAAAAACAATCATCGAAATCGGACTACACGTTAAAAAGTTACGCGTCGTCAAACATAAAAATAATACATATAGCTACGTGTCAAATTGAGAACCTCCCTCTTTTTTCGTCGGTTAAAAAACAAATTATTCTAAACAATTCTATACTAACTTATCCATGCAAAAGTCTCTATAAAAACATCATGTCACGTGTAATTGTACAGACAAGGTCGTCAACGCATACGAGTGTAGTATATGATATCACTTTCACTGACGACAGTGACTCACGAGCATCACTACACTAGCTGTAGTTAACAGCTTCCTTACGGGAAGTAGGTTACGCCGTTACGCGCGGTTTACTCACAAATATGAATCACCGGCTTCCTTTATGAAAAAATAGGTAGTGTTTGTCGTAGAACTATAAAGAAGTTTATAGAACTGTTATGTACGTTCGTCATTGTACTAAGCCAATGCCTCGGTGGTGTAGTGGTTAGCATGGCTGGAGCCTCTGGAACTTCTGGGTTAGAGTCCCGGATCGGGCCAAGTACAGTTATTGGGTCAAAACTCATTAACAGTCTGGAATCGGGATGTTGTGTACGCTCCCGTGCCTCAGAGAGCACGTGTCGGTGTCTTCCACCTGATCTCTTACAGGGTGTGCTGCATTGCCGTCTCATAAAAGCTTTTAAAGTGAAACGAATAGAGTGCATATTGTGTCACCGCGTATTACTTGTGCCCTATTATATCTCTTACGTAGATACTAATCTCACTGAGTTAATATCAGTCAGGAGACCATTATAATGCTAGTAGTCGCAAATTCGATGCTCGTTCTGAGTTAATAACGATATATGCATGAAGTAACATAATCAAACAAAAAATATTGTATGATGGAATTCGCTGCCAATCAACAATTGAGTTGATTAAATAAAAAAAAATGTTAAAAAAATATATTGAGATGTCTATGATGTTGACAAAAGGAAATGACACATAACCTCAAAATACAAAATGCTAGTATATTTCCAAGTCAACCATAATAGAGTACAACTGACAATTCAATCCTATGTAGACTGTAACAATGTGCACTAAACAAAAATCTTCTTTTATTTAAGAACTAAATGATGAGACCTCTTTAACATTTAACAATAGCGTTGTGGGCAAATAACTCACTTCTTTCCATAAGTAAAGAGAAAGTGTGCGAAGATGTGGCGTTGGTTGAGTTTATGTACACGAGTGTTACTTTGTGAACTAAGAAATATTTGTTTGCTACCGAAAATCGTGTTAAAAGATGAATCTCACAAAAAAATATTAAAACGCGCCAGTTAGTGAGACGTTAATGCTTTTTTATCAACAAATATTTCATTATCTATTACATTATTTGTTTTCAAAACGTTTAAAATAAACAATCAAAATAATAATTTAATTTGACGTAGGTACATCACCTTAAATGCATACTTTCTATTATAATTGGTTATTATTATACGTATAGTTTAAAACCCACATTTACTTCAAGAC